GTGCGTAGACTCGAGTTGCGAAAAGATTAATTTAAATGGGAAGTAAAAAATATATAGGAGAAAAAAATCGTATAATTTAAACCTTTTTTTTATTTGTCTTGCTTGAAGCTGAATTTTTAGTGTTCTGGAATAAATTGACGGTAAAAAAAAACTCTATGTGCAAACAGAGGTAATTTATAATATCTGGTGAAGATTGAAGAGGAGAGGTGGAGTGTAGTGTATTAGTCAGTCAGTGAAAGTGGTGTATCAGTGATTGTGTAGGGTCAACGGTCAGTTCCGCCCAGCGTGATAACGGCCTCGGTGTCCTCTGTACTCAGTCCAACAAGCCACCCCACAACATGCTTCTTAAATAGAGAGAGAGAGGGTGAATTTAGAATGTTGACATTTTGATATCTGTTACACATGTTACGATAAATGATTTGGGTTAAGTGAAAGCAATTCGTATTTGAAAATGATTTGAAAGTTTGTGGAACACTTACACCAACATTTCGAGAAAAGCGCGTATTGTGGGGATGAGTAATTTTTACAAAAATATTATCAAAGTTTTTGTACATGTGAACTAAAATAAATTTTAAAAATAACTGCCTGACTGTCAAAACTCCCGATTCTACAAAAAGATCGTCAGTTGAATATCTAAAGTGTTTTTTAAAAGCAACTTTAAGTATTGTTTTCTGCACTACAAAAACAGGTTGCAAGATAGTTTTGTAGGCACCACCAAAAGCAATAATTCCAAAAGACAACAATGATTGAACATATGCATAGTATGCTATTTTAATTTCTTGCTCTTCGAGAATATCACTAAGTTGCCTAAATGCATAAATATATTTACGTAGGCTAATTTATTTTTTAGGTATTCAACATGTTCCGACCATTTCATCTTTGAATCAAAAACAATACCAAGATATTTGTATGAATCAACTTTTTCAATTTTGCTACAAAAACAAGAGTTATTGAAATGATTTCCACAGACATGAATAGTTAGGTTATCAAGTTTGTATTCGGTTATCTTGCGTAATGAAATTGGCATAAATTTTGTTTTAGATATATTAAGGGACAATACATTTTGATCAAGCCATTTTTTTAGTAAACAGAGGTCTGATTCTGCCTTGTTTTTAACCTCCTCCCAGGATGCTCCGGTTACAAATATTAGAGTATCATCAGCAAATAATGTTAATTTTCCTTCTGTTTGAATTTTAGAAATATTATTAATATAAATGAGGAATAAAACAGGACCAAGGGTCGAACCCTGGACTACACCATACTCCACTGGCAAAACATCGCTTGCCACTTCACCAAGTGCAACAGTTTGTAGCCTATCAGAGAGGTAGCTGCTGAACCAAGCGAGCGAGGTGCCACGCACCCCGACAAGCTCAAGTTTACGCAACAATCTACTTCTGTCCACTGAGTCAAAAGCTTTTTACAAGTCTAAGAAAATTAACATGCTTCGTTTGTTGCCATAAATTGCCTCGTTAATGTATTTATTAATATCAAATAAAGCATCAGATATGTTTTTGTCACTCCTGAAACCATACTGATTTTCACTTAAAATATTGCACTGGTGGAGGTAAAAAACAAGTTGGTCTTTGGCAATTTTCTCTAAAAGCTTAGCAATTACGCTTAACAAAGAAATCGGACGATAGTTATTCATGTCTGTGAAATCATTAGATTTGTGCAATGGAATGATCTTGGCCAATTTCAGCTCGTTTGGGAATGTACCAGATGTCAGGCTAATATTGACAATGTGCAGAAGAGGAGCACATAGAGAGTGGATGTTTTCTTTAAGAACAAAGGCCGAGATACCATCATGGCCAGGTGCAGACCCTCCGCGCAGACCCTGGACGTAACGTTCTATGTCAGCGTGTGTGACCGTGTTGAATGTAAAATTTGTGTCAAGTGAGAAGTCAGTGTCGTTTACGACTGGAGCCCCAGCTGAATTTATTGAGTTGGCCAATTTAGAACCTACTGATGTAAAAAAGTTATTGAAATCGTTTGCTATTTTAATCTTAATGTTCGCATTATTCGAAGAACCAGGTAAAACTTTTTCAAATGGGAAATGGTCCTTAGTGCAATTCCTGCCTGATATTTCACTAACTATGCCCCAAAATAATTTTGGATCCCTGTTAGATTCTGAAATTTTACCCCTATAATAATTTTTCTTTGCAATTTTTATGTTTTGATTTAAAGGGCCCTGAATCTATCTAGTAGTAATAAATTAAACGGTTGGGTTTTGATCTTTTTACTTAGCTTGTCTCGTTTTCGAATTAATTTTATGAGATCTACGGTAATCCAAGGCTTTATTTTTTTAAATCTTGTAGAGTGATGTTTGATTGTTTTAGTTGAGGCTTTGATGCAGTTACTCAGTGTCGAACAAAAACATGATGTGCACTGATTAACCTCGTGATTGCTCATGATTGGACTCCAGTCTGTTTTTGTAATATGTTCAGTTAATGTAGCGTGATCAATGTAGGTGCGAAATTGGTTCTGTGACTGAGTTTCAGTTCCTGTAGGTGTATGAATGGTGTTAGTGATTGTAAGAGCAGTGCTGTAATGGTCAGTGATATGAGAGTGTATGACAGCAGATTTGACTCGTCTCATATCTTGGAAACGGACAAAAATGTGGTCAATACTGGATATAAGTTATCCTTTGGTTAGTTAGGTTAGGTTAACCTTACCTAACTAACCAAACGATATATCGAATGAAGCAATCGATTAATCAATATATCGATCGATATTTTCATTCGAATGAGTGTAGGACCTAAAGTAAAGTGCAGCCGTTTTTTGTCTTGTGCCCTTAAAACCAAAGCAACCACATAAATTGTTAGACATTAAGTTAATAAGATTCTATTTGAAATTCAATGCTGATTCAGAAAATGACATTTTTTCCTGCGGAAAAGGGGTTAACTAAATTAATCGATAGTTTCAATCAATGTAAAGCATAGCCTAGTTGAGCAACTATAGACATACCACGAACAAAACAACCTGCGCAGAAACGAAAAGATCACGTGGTTCGCGCAGGTAGGTGGGCCGTACCATTCAAACCTGCGCGGCTCGAAACGGCCCAGGGTTCTTTTGTTTCTGGTATTACTATAGACCTACTGTAACCCTATTTTTGATCTAGGGCAGGCCTACCATGTTGTATAAAACTCCAAAACATGTTGTGACCACTGTCTATAAAGTGACATCTCACCTTCTATAATAGTAGAATCACTATGTGAAGATAATCCCCTGATGAATAAGTTAGAGTGAGGCTTTTTTCTTGCACACAATCTCAAGGAAATTAAAAAGTTGTTCATCATTGCAAATGTTTGTTAAATAGGCCTTCCACTGGATATTACAACTTCTTGTTCACATTACACCAGGGAAGACAAGTTCAACCGGTAATGTTGAAAAGATTTATTTTTGTTTCTGTACAAGTTAGAATTATATTTTCTTTTCTGGGGTGATTTTGGGCTGGATGGTCTTTTGGGGTTATGTTATATTCACTCAACACCAGTCACACAAACAAACAACTGGACTGGACTGGAACTGAACTGAGGGAGTGAGAGAGAACTCAACTGAACTGACAACTGGAACTGACTGCAGTGCAGGCAGACGGGTTGAGTTCCCGCAAGGCTCAAAGGACGTTCCATGACGTAAGCTCAACGTCACGATTCCAGGACGTTCAAACTTTCCAGATCCATTCCTTGTCCATTCCTCATCCAAGACAAAAATGAAAATAAAATAGCAAGATTTGAACGGAATGGGCATACGGGAGGGGCGATGGCTAAAGGTGTGGTGACGTCATATCTGTAGTGGCTAATGTCTTCTCATGAGGCAACACGATTACCGTAACGAGACAGTGGGCGCGTTCTGGGAACATGTACCGGTGCACCGGTGCGGTATATGTTCCCAGAACCACAGAAAACGTACTACTAGTAGTACGTTTTCTGTGCCAGAACGCGCTCATTGTGATCCCAGCGGCGTTCGTAGCTTAGTAGATAGCGCATCGGACTAGTGTTCAGGAGGTCTCGAGTTCGAAACCCGTGGGGGACACAAACTTTTTGTCTAAGATTTTGCTTTATTTGATTTTTATCTTATATCTTTTTATATTATCAGCAAGTTTGGTTGGTTAGGTTAGGTTATGACAGTTTAATTTTATAATACTAAATTTTAAAATTGATTGTATGATTAAAAATTATAAGTAAACATTCATTTCATTTTTATCTTTTAGATTTTTTATATTATACATACATACATGATACATGATCTCTCCGTCCGTAGTCCTTTGCCTTAAGGAATTGGACAGGTCAGGGTTAATACAAAGAATAACCAACTTAATACTAATTTTTGTCACCGTCTAGGTAACTGTCTTTTGAATTTAACCTCTGAATTTCAAGTATTTCTTTCGGTAGGGCCTGGTACAATTTCATTCCCATGTAATCTGGTTTGTGTTCAAATTTTGTGAGTTTATGTTGGACTGCATGTGTGCCCTTTCGCTTTGTTCGTGTGTTGTAAGTGGGATTTGTAAAAGTTGGTTTAATTTTCTGTGATTTTATATAGCAAGCTGATATATCAGCAAGTTTGGTTGGTTAGGTTAGGTTATGACAGTTTCATTTTATAATTAAAAAGTTAATTTTATAACTAAAAATTGTAAAATTAACTTAATTTAAATTTTCCAACTAAGCGGTTCTAGCGGCTAACGCTGACACTATGTTAGCCATCGTCCCTCCCGTGAGCCCCACCGAGATTTGAACCCGACTCCTTCAGTTTTCCAGCCCGGCATCCACTATACCACCGAGGCCGATGGCACCAAGCCGTACCATAGATAAAACCATAGATAAAACATACTCCTCAAGGACATCTTTGGCAAAACCAAAGATTACATAATATGCAATGCAAAACTAATCCTGGAATAAAAATTCAGCGTCCATCTTTGTCTCACTCTTCTATCTTCTTCTGCTTCTTCACTTCTTCTTCTCCACAGCTCCAGCTGCAACCGTCGAACGTCGTCGGACTCGGAGTCAGAAGTCGGATCCTGATCGAATCGAAACCTCAAAACAAAACAAATTAATTAATTAGGGATTAGGCCAGTAAAAAAGTTAAGAATATCATTTTAATCGTTATCATTCTAGCCTTTCTTTAATTTTTTTCCATTAAATGTTCATTTTGCAGAATTTGTTTGATTGTTGGTCTTAGTCAATACCGCAGTGATTTCATTTTAGACCAACATTAAATTATTGTAAATTTAGGCCTAATTTTACAAAGTGCATGGTGTTAACTTGAATGTTTCGGAACTTTTGCTTAGGAATCATTTGATTTGATTTGGTTGTAGCCTGTCCGATTTCCTCCAAGGACTTCACTAAGAGACTAATTCTTCTTAGGCAACGGCCTACCTACTAGGCTAGGGCTAGGCCAAGGCTTAGTTTTACTCATCGTGATTTTTTGAATTCCCAACTAGGGTATCAGCAAATAAGTCGACCCATTGAAAATGAGTTCTACTAGCAATCAATCTTTCTCTGCCTCGGCTGCTTTAGCAGTTCTTACCAGCAAAAAACAAGGAAAACATTACTTATGCCAAAATGAAGTAAGTTCTTTGGTTAACTTAATTTAGACTAGGCCTGTAGTACTTAAATCCCTAACTAGACCTACATTCAATAGAGGTATAGCCTTTTAGCTTAGCATGTTGAACTGATTTGATTAAGCTATGCCAAGGCCTACTTGATGACATGGCCTTGTTAGATTTATCTTGGTCTAAATACTTAGTGTAAATTATGGGACCAGTTCTACAGAGGACCTACAATAGGCTTTACCAAGTAATTTCTAGGATATGTGTGTGTCTTATTTAGCTATCAGATGATTTTGTTATGTAGGCCTATGAATACCTATTATAAGTTAAGTTAGGCTTATTTGTTAGGCCTAAGTTTGGTGACACTAATTTTTTGTCAAAGATTTTGCTTAGAAAGCCATTTCTTCTTAACTGTACTGGTAGGCCTAGGCATACATCTTTTGTGAGAATTTGAGGCATTTACTTATAATTTTATTTTCTGAACAGAATTTAACCTTTAACTTATTCGATTTTAGCGAATTTCCCTATAGGGAAGTAAGTTAGCTATACAGTAGGTGGCATGGTAAGACCTAAGCCCGGGACCGATTTAACTTACTTATTCATTTTTATGTCCCCAGAGGCCTAACTTACTACGCCATTTGTTCAAATATGTTTATATATATATAAGTTAGGCATATATATAAAATATATATGATAACTTAGCTTGAGTAATTTTTGTCCAATTTTAATGAAATTTGTTTTAAGGTAAAGGTGTAAGGTGGGATGAACTTGAATTAGTTTGCGAACAAGCATGATCAGGTGTAAAAATTGGTTTTTCTCTTTTTTTGACCCTTTTTTGACATTTTTAAGCTTATAAGTTAGAGCTTAAAAAACAAATAATTTAAAGTACCGGTATATCATTGTGTATTTTACACAATTACTTATTGGTAATGGTGAAAATTCAAAAAAACCTAAATTTAAAATTCCCATGTTATTCTTATGGAGAACCAATATTGTAAAATGTGTAGTTTGCTTGTTTTAAGGCGGGGACACACTTGTCATACACCATTCCGATCCGACTCCGATCATACTGTGGTACGACAGTCGGAGAGGGGAATGGTACATAACTTTGAACGTGGGTGTTTACACCTCTCCAACACGCGTCACGTCATACTCCGATACTACTCCGATTTTGGCTCCGATCACGCACCGACACTGCAGTCTATTCGTTTGTCGGATGCAGGACGGGTTGTTTCTTAAAAATCACCTTTATTCTTAAGGTTTAAGAATAATGGTTTAAGATCAATATATGCCGATGCTTGATGTGAAATCTGTCCGTGCATACCTTCCATTCGAGACCTCAATCATGAAAATCGGACGGGTAGAAGAGCCAAACGAACTTGAGAGAGAAAAAGTGTTTAATATATAAGATGGGCCCTTCCACCTAACTTTCCTTCTATGCAGAATGGACCCAAATTCTCCGTTTTCCACTGCCCTCCAGACTCCAGAGATGTCTGACTTTTTTTTCTCTTCATCTAGACAAACCGCCATCATGGCTAAATCCCGAAGTCCAAAGTTTTTGAACATGTTTATCACCTTCTGCATGTAGTTTACAAATCAGACTGGCGAGTGTTGATCGGCCCGGCGGAGGAAATCGGACATGGGTCGGAAGCGTGTATGACATGTGTGTTCAACCCCTCCGATCCCGCACCGATCCTTCTGGAATCCCGCAAATCGGATCGTAGTAGGATCGGAAGGATGTATGACAAGTGTGTCCCCGCCTTTAGTGAATTTCCCATATAGGGAATAAGCTATTACCGTAGTACTCATGATAAGACCTGGACCCGGGACCAATATATTTTTTGTTTTGAGGTCCCTAGAGGCCAAAAACACCGTCTGTTCAAATTCACATATATATAGGTAGGTATATATTTATTTAGGATGTGTCCGTTAGCGCGATAGCTCGAACAAAAATAACCATCCGATTTTGATGAAATTTGGTAAAAACGTGTAAACCTACGTTTATTTAATCGAGTTCGCGAACCAGCATAATCGGACCATGGGAACGGGGTTTTATAGGGTAAAGATTTGTTTTCCCATTTTTGACCTAACTAGGCCTACAAAAAAAATTGCAATTTCTTTTTAAACAGTTTTGTAGAGCTTAAAAAAAAATAATTTAGTATATTGAAGCGCTGTTGTATATGCCTAACGATTAATTAATTGCCCAACGGTTTCACGGAGAAAATTCAAAAATAGTGTAATTAAAAATTCCCATCTTATTCTTGATGGAGAAAATGAGAACTGTTTTAGTTGACTTGTTTAGGCTATGGATAGGCCTACGGTATATGTTGATAAAATTTGGAAAATTTATTTATTTCATCCTCCCTACTTACTATTGACGTATGGTCAAAAACACTTTTTTACCTTCCCCGTTGCAGCAAACCTAAGCACTCGTTAAATCTAATGTTATTTAAAATTGGGAATAGGCCCTATAGAACTTAAATATGTCTTATTCCTGGAAATATTTGAGTAATAATGTAATCAGACAAGTTGCAATTCGCTTAGTCTGCAGGTTTGCTGCGGCGGGGGTGTTTTCATTATCAGCAAGTTTGGTTAGGTAGTTAGGTTAGGTTATATAGAGATATTTATTTTATACTAAGCTATTAATATTTTACTAAAAAACACACTCTATTAGTTCCCTTGTATCAGCAAACCTAGTTACTCGTTAAACCTAATGTTTAAATAAGATTTAATTGAAAATCAATTCAGACATATGGAAATTCTACTAGTCGGCTGGTTTGCTGCGGCGGGGGTATTTTCATTATCAGCAAGTTTGGTTTGGTAGTTAGGTTAGGTTATGACAGTAACTGCGGGACGCCTAAACGTAATCCACGTCCAGTTACCGGACGCGTATCCTCTGACATGACAAAAATCGTCAGATAGTGTCACTTTCTTTTAAACAGTTTATAACCATTGACTATAGGGCCTATAACACTAGTAGGCCCTAGGCCTAGTGTTATATGTTATAACTCATTTAAAATGATACCAATACCCCCGCCGCAGCAAACCTGCAGACTTAGCGAATTTCCATCTGCCTGATTGGATTTAAACTAAAATGTCTCCTTAAAAATATCACATTTATTCCCTATTTAAACAGAATTAGTTTAATGAGTACTTAGGTTTGCTGCAACAGGGAGGGTAAAAAAGTTTTTTTAATGTAAAATATTAAAAGGTACTGTGGTTTAGTAAGAAATTAATGTATTTTCCAAATTTGATCAAAATATGTTCATAAACAAGCAAACTACAACAGTTGACTTATTCTCCATAAGAATAACATGGTAATTTTATAATTACAATTTTTTTTAATTTTCTCCGTAACAATTAGGCGCATAATAACGCTTCAATATACTTAATTATTTGTTTTTTTAAGCTCTACAAAATGGTTTAAAAAGAAATTGTGAAATTTTGTGTTTTTAGGGTCAAAAATGAGAAAAACCTATTTTTACCCCATAAAACCCCCCATAAACCCCCGTTCCCATAGTCCGATCGTGCTGGTTCGCGAACTCATTCAAGTTTATCCCACCTTACACCTTTAAACCAAATTTTATCAAAATCGGACAAAAATTACTCAAGTTATCGTGCGTATGGACACACACACATATATATATATATATATAGATATATAAAAATTTGAACAAATGGTGTTTTTGGCCTCTGGGGACATCAAAATGAAAAAGTAAATCAGTCCCAGGCTTAGGTCTTACCATGAGACCTACGGTAATAGCTACTTCCCTATAGGGAAATTCGCTAAAAAACCAAATAATTTTGATACCATCTGAAAGATAAGATTCCAAACTTTCATTTTCATATAGGCCTAAACAAATCTTATAGCATTAACAGATACATTTTATGTTGTTACCTACAATTTGAATAACAAATTTAGGCACGAGAAGATTTTGAGTCTGCCGCGTCAATTCATAACTCATGTTCAATAAATCGTAGCGCCGATAATCTTGCATGAAACTGGTTGTAGTTGGTACCAATCGTAAGATTTTGTTCTGGAGATTATTTTCCTCAAGAATCACATGATCATAATATCAGACAATTTGTGAAACAATATTTAGAAATCATAATACATTTGAAATGACAAAAAATTTAATTTAGGCAATAGGCCCTAACTAATAAATCAATAAAGGACTGTGTTAGCGTGATGTAATTTATATTGATCTGTAACCAGAAATAAAATTTGAAACAATTTGAAATACTGTACACAGTTGATGTTGGCACCTAGCATAAATTAAATTAGCTGTTTCTTTGGTGACAGTCGCCATTACTGTTGTGCGGCGTTCACGTCTCGTGAGTCTTGCGTGCGAGCTGTAATACATATTTTATTTGTGAATATTTTTACAAATGTGTTGTTTTGTTTGTTTTCTTGAGTGATGTGATATAATTTTTATCCATGTTATTATGGGTAGCCTAATGGTAATATGACCCGTAGTAACATAGATAATAATAATTCCTATCACATCCACTCATTAAACAAAACAACACATTTGTAACAATAAAACACAAAGATTTACTAGTAAATTATGGGTAAATGATAAGTAGCCTATTTGTGGTAAAATGTGTGATTATGAAATGTCGCTTGCTTTTAGTGATAAAAACACTCAAGACAAGCGCCTTGTCAATTGACCTTGACCGGCTACTTGCTGAACAGTGCGTCTCTCGTCTAAAATGCTTATGGAACCTTTATTATTCATTATTTCTATATACATAGGTACCGGTATATAATCTTGTAATTGTCCCCCCCCCCCAACTTTTTTCTACTTTTTTTAAATATCAATCCCAGACCACTTCCAAACATTGTTGGGTAGGAATTACTTCATTTTGACAAGGTGGTCATTTCCGACCGTCATCTTGGGTTCGCCATATTGGATGCAAAATATTTTTTCAAATGTAAAGGCGGGGCTGTAACTCATTATTTCGAACTAGATTTTTACCATGATTACAATGCCACAAACCGTTTTTAAAACTCTAGATCCATTCCAAAGTTATGAGGGGTTTTTATAGCTTTATTTTTAGCCCATTTTAAAGTTGTGCATTTACAAACTAAGGCCATAATCTCAAAATAGTGCTAGATAAAGATAAGTATACACCACCAGTCATTGTTGACCTATTTTCATTTGGTTATGAGGGATGTAATTTTTTTGGCCGCCATCTTGGATCCGCCATTTTGAAATATTTAGTATATTTTGCAATTATTTTAAATATAAAGGGGGTGTTGTGACCCATCATTTCAAATTACTTTTTTAAGCCAAAATCAATTCCACAATCTGTTTTTCATTTTCATATTTTGATTTTGAAATAGGTAGGCCTATTGACATTTTTTTTACAAAAAATGCATCATTTCATAAAGAAAACTTGATAACAAAATATGGATTGTGGCATTGAGTTAAGCTTAAAAAAGTAATTCGAAATGATGGGTCACAACACCCCCTTCATATTTAAAATAATTTAGGCCTATGACATTTCAAAATGGCGGATCCAAGATGGCGGCCGAAAAAATTACATCCCTCATAACCAAGTGTAACCCAACAATGTTTGGAAGTGGTCTGGGATTGATATTTGACATAAATGTAGAAAAAGTTTGGGGGGGGGACAATTAAAACTCACCCTGTAGGCCTATATGAATATTTACACAATTTATTGTTATATAATAAAGTATAAAAAATACATACAGCTTTGAATAACTTATTTTATTTTACGACAAAAATAATGTTTTCTTTTTCAACTCATATAAAACAGTTATTAGCGTGCACTAAAGTGTATTATATCATATAACTATATCAAAAACATTTACTAATGTAGCAGTCTTGGCTTATTACAGTGATATTTGATATTTTTTATGCGTTTAAAATAATTAGTGTGTACATTTATCGATATTTTCCAACCTTGTATATTTATTTCTTTAGATGGATTGATCTTTTTTATTTAAAAGCCAAACATATTTCCACGTAGGGAAATAAAATGTCTACATTTAGTATATCTTGGATTTTTCGTTCATAATTTTGTAGGAAAATACCACGACTCTACTTTTGAAATTTTTGTAAAGAATATTACGCAAATTTTAGTTTTTCAACTGTAGTAAAAAAATTTAGATTTTTATTTGTTTGTTTATTCAAAATCTCCTTCATTTTCTCAACAAAATGAGTATGTATATGACTAGGTTGTCAAAAGTAATTTAGACACTGAAAATGTTTAAAAAGAACTCTTGCGAATACGCAAAAATGGCAGTTACATTCATCCAAACCATCAAAGCAGTCCTAGGGTTAAGTTATCGGTGTGGTTGGTATAATATGTACGGTAAGTAAGTTTAGCCTACCTATTAACTTAGGCCTACCGGATTAAATAAGACTATCTTACTAATCGATTTCGATTCACAATTCTTATCTTTGGACGGCTGTCATTTTTGACTTGATTGGCCATTGAGGTAACTTACGGTTTGCTACATTGTTTTTAGTTCAACAAGACCTTTAATATGATGTTCAAATAACTTATGCTTACCTTTATGACTTTCAACTTACTCCCTATGGGCCATCCGCTTTACTGTTTGGGCCAAAATAAAGACTTCACGATTTTTTTCAAGAAAATGTGTTTTACAAGATTTTGCTGATTGCGTCTCAAGAATGTTTCGAGCACTAAATTTTGTTCTAATTATAATAGCAGTTATATTGATCTGTTACTGACTACGAAGTTTGTTTATATATGAAAATGAAAGTTTAGAATCTCCTCTTTTCAACGGAATCAAAATTATTACACTTCTGGATAATCTTTATTGCATAATAAGGGTTTGAAAAAAAATTTCCAAGCGGTAAAAGGCAGTTGGACATTTGGGGTACACATGAAACCACCATAAGTATCAAGTAAGTAAGTATTTACCTTGGTTTGTTTTCAGGGGATAATAGGGAGAAGTCCAAGTGCTTTTTTAAGTATCCCAGACAATCACATTTCCAGAGTACACTGTGTTATACAGAAAACTGAAGACAACAAATTTACCATATGTGATAAGGTAAGTTTAAAATAGTATTGCTACTTAATCTGTTGGCCTACCTAAATTCAAATGTTTTAGAGTGGTCTGATTCATTTACCTGTTTTGATACTATTAAGTAAAGTAGGCCTACTATGATATGGAATTACTGGTGAACTCAAGTGAAGAAATTATGGATTTTTTGTCCAGTTATGATTTTTTAGTTCAATAGCCTACTCTAAAAAAAATTATTGTTGATGCTGATTTCATTTCGTAGTTTCTTTGTATCCGTGCCTCGCTTAATTCATTTATTTATTTATTTGCTACCAACGCTCTTAACAAATCTATTTACAATTTTGAGATAACCAATTCACTAATCAAGATTAGCCTACCATAACTAAGGGTCAAGCCAAACCAAACGGGACTTAGTCTTTATTAATAAGGAATAAATTGGTTGGGAATAGTGAGTGGTACCTGACAGTGCAAATGACCATAGAGAGGGTAGTGTGAAAACAAGCACAGCAATAATCAGTCGTGTGGCTGTTGCAATAATAAAGTTTTGGTTAGTTTAAACAAGACTAGATGTTACTAGGCATCACTTTTCTATGACAAAACTTTAATTAATAATGTCAAAAACTATTTATTCGAAACATTGCTTTCACAGATTTATTTTTCAGAGTTCAACTGGAACATATCTCAATGGCCAAAGATTAATAAAGAATACGGTTAATGAACTCAAGCACCATGATCTGATCAGATTATCAGATTTGGATATGTATACCTTCGCTTTTGTAATCAACAAAAAACGGTAAGTATGGGTGGTTTGATTTATTTATGGTTGTCAATGACCAGGAACAAGGGAATATAATGATATAACATACTACATAATACTGGGAATGATTTCATATTTAATAATCCTGTGATAACCCATTAACATTTCAACAACTCTACCTGCTTGGGACATCTCATCTGCTTGCCATCTGCTCACATTGTGTGAGTGTGACAACTACGTAAATCCATTCCCATTGCGCAATCTAGTTCATCTCATTAGTTTTACTGTTTAGCTTGGAAAAACTACTTTTTGACTACAATAGTGAATTGAAAGTAATTAATTACTATAGGCTGTACTGAACCGTTTGTACGAAGCAAAATGCTGTGGTAATTAGGCCAGAACCGTACCATACCGACTTTTTCCGTGCACGGCAGACCCCTACACAAACACTACATTGTTGAATACAAAGGACATCCAAATATGGTCATGTTATTTTCAGAGGGATTACTGAAGATTTCACAATGTTGGTCACGCTTGTGCCACAGAGTGCTTTATTTCATATAGTGGTACTTTTTAGTGCAGTCGTAAGAGCATAAAATAACTAGTTTTGCTTTCAGATCATGGAGTAGAAGCTACAATAATTCTTATACACCTTAGCTCTATCAACATAGTTTTAGACTTTCTATTTTTTTTTTTTTTTTTTTGCTTGTGTATTTTAAGTGCAAATGCTCCTTTCTCCAATGTTTACAGTTTGGAAAACATTTGAACGTAATATATATGAACTTAAACATTTTAATAAAATGTATAACTAAATTTAAATGTTCAAAAAGGCCAAATAATAAATAGTTTGATTCACAAGCGCTTGCATAAACTAGGTTTCCATCATCAGGCTGTGTTTAAACTAGTACAAAAAGTCAATAAATTTTTTACAATTATTTTTGTATTAGCCTAGTTTAAACAAAGCCTGACGATGGAAACCTAGTATAAACAATAAAAGGGATAGAAAATAATAGTTGTTAAGCGCTGCAACGCGCGCCAGGTAACTGCTAGTTTATTATTGGCCTTTTTGAACATTTAAATTAGGTATAAATTTAATTATTAATTGCCAATATCTCCAATATAAGTTAAACAATTTTTAGTCATATAGGATGATTTAGGCGAACTAATGGAAAATCTTGTTGTTTCAGCCTTGGAATTCAAAGTCCTCCAAGAGGAATGAGTGTTTCAGAATTAACAGATCAACTAAATGACTTAAACGAGAGTCAATGTCTTGAGAAAGAAAAAATGGAAAAAGAATTTGGTCTTGTCAGTTTAGAGATGGACAGATTGCAGGAAGAATTGCAAAAATTAAAAGAACATGAAAAGACAATTGAACAGAAACGATTAGAGGCGTCAATAGAATCAGCTAGTAATAAGGAACAAGCTGATATAGCAGAAGCTAAGTTGAAAGAAGCTATGGAAGAAAAGGAAAGAGTCGTAAAGGAGTATGAACACAAATTTGCAGATGTTACGAAAAAGGTTGAGGAATTGCAGCAAACTAGAATTGAAATGGAAAACAGGCACCAAATAGAAAGAGAGGAACTAGAGAAGAAGTGAGTATTCTCCTACATATCGTTATTAACCATCTAATAAAAAAGTAATCTTTTTAATTGGTTAGTGTTACAAATACTATTTACAATTCATTTTTTTAGGTTATTAAGTACAATTTGATTTACTGTTCGTTGTCAGTTGATTTTGGATTGAGATACAGCAGGAAGAGCTATTCATATCAACCTTAATTACAAGAATATTCTTATTTTTATATTTGTACCAACTGTTCAAGTCTTTCATTGTCTCTATTTTTTTTTAAGTATAGTGTCAGTTGATCTTTTTTTCATTTGATCATTACATCCAAATATGGTCATGTTATTTTCAGAGGGATTACTGCAAACATTTCCCATAACGATTTAAGTAAAAAACAAGATTTCACAATGTTGGTCACGCTTGTGCCACAGAGTGCAGACAAGCGTTTCTTGTTTTCCTATAGGCATACAAAAAAGCTTTAAAAATGTGTCAGAGCAAGTGTGTTGATTATTTTAATTTTGATTTTAAAACTATCAGTTACAACTTTCTTGTGAAGTGGGGTGTCCACTCCTATCAAGGATATGCTTGGTAACGAACGGATATTGTTCTATTAAGTCTACCTCAGTCTATAGCCTTGTTTTCTTGTCAAAGTAATTGTACAACCTCAAACATATTTTTCCCTACAATGCTTCAATCCTCTTTTTAGGTGTAAAGCTGAAATTGAAGAATTAAAAAATAAAATGGAACATGCACAGAACCAACAGTTTGAAGAGTTGCAGAGTAAATTAGAAGAAGCAAAAAATGTTCTCATAGAAAGTGAACTGGAGCAACAACGCTTATTTGAAGCAAAAGCTGAAGTTGAAACTACATTGGAGTCCAAAATTATTGAATTAACAAATGTAAGTACAGTAGTATTTAATCTATATAAAGTAAATTATAGACTATGTATTTGAGAGTACCTATCTATTTGTTTACACACTTTAAACATAAAGATTATGATACTTAATGGTAACATAGTTTTTTCAAATGAGTTTCTTGATGGGAAGCTTTTTAACACATTGTTTTTAAGGTACCTAAACAAACTAAACCAAATTTTTCTTTCAATATTAGATAACAATTCACTGCTCTCCTAGGCTGTCACCAGCTTGAAATCCAAGTTGGATGTGCGACGAACAACCATTTCTATGGTGTCCCATAATACTCCCCCCCTGGTAAATTTTGAACGGCTGCATATATTCAAACAAGCTTCGATACACGTTAAACTAGGATAATATAAAGTACTTTGGTGGTATTTTGAAATTCACCCAACCTCCCAAATAGGGGTGGCTGGGGGTGACTTAAATTTTTTAAATGGCAACCCCTATCAAGTAGCACATAATTTTAAAGAGATTTAAAAAAGGAAATAAATACTGCAAATCCGACTCTGATATGACGAGTTTTCAAAAAGTCATGGCAATAAATGTTGGACATTAATTTAACTGGAAATTAACAATCCATCACTTTAATTTTTTCATGGCTAAATTTTCAAATAACCTTCAGCTTCAGTAGGCCTACATGTGACCAGGGTGATGTAAAACACTGGTGGGATTTTATTAACGTGTTTAGAAGGGTTTGAATTATAATTGACTAGGCCTAGTTATAATTTTTTCATTACTTCAAAAAACACCCGTTTATCCCAAAGTTAATGTGTGTAAAGACATTTAAATAGATGAGTTAATGTAATATAACAAACCCGCATAGGAAATTTGGTAAAGTAATTAATATTATTGGTATATAGAGAGTCGATAAATTCAGGTATCGATATATATATTTCTACTTGTGACATTTGACCATATTCCAACCACTATAGTGTAGTTAAGTAATCCGAATGTACTAAAATACAAAGGGAAAAGGGGGAGGAGGTTTGAGAATTAAATTGAGTACCGCATCTAACAGATTTTTGTGAAACAAGTTGTCAAATTATTTTTTTCCCTCTCGCCTTCTGTGTTCCAGAATTATTCCCAGTTCATCCTACCAACTGGGCCATGTCCTGTAGAAATCCTTTCCCCAACCCAACATTTTGTTGATTCAATCAAGTCGAAGTGGGCTGAAATATCCTCTCTTACCCCAAATGTATGTAGTGTTTTGTGATTTTTTTCTCCATTGTTGAATAATTTTTGGAAGATTCTTAAAAATTATAATAATATATTTCTTATTCTCTATTGAGTAGTTTAAATGTCTTTTAGTGTTTTTTTTTTACCATTCCTACACACCAGACTTACAGGGTGAGTCACTACTGAATACATGAATTTTAACAGCTTATTCTAGTCATCAAAAAGGAACAAAGATATGGACGTAAACCCTGGTCTGACCATGACTTTTAAGCTGTTATGGCATAATTTCTGATTTTAATAAAATAACAAGATTTTGGTAGTGTTAATTTGACGTTAAAAACCAAACTCAACCCCAAGCCAACTGGTGGTTGGGTATAAGGGGTTTTAATGTAATGTACTTCTTAAAGAAATGATAAATAAAGGTGTTTTTCTATCGTCTAAAAAGAAATTTTGATAACAATTAATTTTACATTTAAATCCATTTTCAAATCATTGTATAACCACTTACAGTTGTGGCTTTAATAACTGGGGGAACATAGTTGTTACTTTAGTGTGTTTATTTTGTAGTAAATTTAACATTCTTTCAAATTATATAAGTTTTTACGTTCTTAATAGGTGAGTTTAGTTTCTAAAGTTAAATTAACAAACCAACTTGTTATTTCTTTAAAATGACAAATTATGCCATTACAGCTAAATGGTTAAGGTCAGACCAGGGCTTACGTTTGTTCCTTTTTGATGAGTAGAACAAGTTATTATAATTTATGTAGTAACTTAGTCTGTATAGTAACTACTTGTAGACCATTACCATTAGTAAATATCTGACGATTGATAAATTGTTGTATATTTAGCCTATAGTTTTTAGATACAATAAAACCACCCTTCTTTCCTGTCACTGTTCTTAGCCAATTTAATTACTAAAATGTACATTGATTGTATACTTTGTTATTCTTGCATGTGATTTATTATTACAACTTTTATTTTTGTTTGGGTTAGCGTCAATCTTTTTACCATGCTTTTCAGATGTCAATAAAATCCATCCTACTTTAATAACTGAATTGGTACAACTACATTAATATTAATTCCTCTGCTTTTGCCTTTGGTTTGGCCAATAACACAACACCTTGCTTCTTTTTTCTTTTATTCATTGCTTCTTTTTTATTATTCTTCTTCCATATCCTTTTCTTGTTTTTTTTTTCAATTATATGATTTCCAACACTTAGTTTATATTATATTTTATTAATTTACAGTAGACTCTCTCTCACTTGCATACCTTGGACTTAAGCTATTGAAATCAAAGCCATCACAAGATGTTCTCCAAATGAATAGATATTTTTAAAATTCACAAATGCATACAAAATAAGGAACTAGGAAGTACTAATTTTTTCCCCTTAGAAGAAATAGTATCTGCTTATTTTTTAAATAATTACCTACTTTTTTATGTTGGGCTATGTAGGTTTTATGTGTCTTCCAACACAATATGTCCAATACCTAGTTAACTAAAAAAAAGATAAATTTATCTCCTCCTTAATACCAAAGTAAAAAGAAACAAAAAAGGTGCTGTGTTCAATCCCTTTTAAACTCACTAATACCATTACATCCAAGCCCATTTATTTGGGACCCACTTTTTAACAAGCTTTACATAGATTGCACATGTACAGGTATCGAACCTGTTTGTAGAACTACTGCAACACTCATCAGTTTGAGGCTTTGGTAAACTCAGTCACCACTAAAGCCTAAATAAATTATTACTTAAATAGTCTACTAGTGTTTTAGGGGCAGGGCAACCGTGCAAAATGCAATAATCTTAAGTGACCAACAACAGAAATATATGTACTTACCAAACAGTGGTAGATGTACATATTATACAATAAGTTTGTTAACCTGGCTACCAGAAGTAAAATTTACATCTAAAAACAGTAATAATGCACATTTTATCTTTATAAATAGCCTACACTATATTTTAATATAAATTTGTTTAATATTTCTTTCCAGGAAAAGGAGAACCAAGCGGGTCAGGTCAAGGAGCTTGAAATGAAGTTGAAAGAAAAAGAAGAGCAGGAGGAGAAGGTTAAAAGAGGTAATTTTTCAGTATGTGGAATTAGCTTCCAGAACTCACAAACCATTTTAAATTCCCTATCTCCAAATTCAGTCGTTGTGCGTAACTCACTTGTTGGTTTCGGAATTGGCTGATTCTAGAACCCGCTAACCTGGTTCTAGAGCGGGTTAGTGAATTCCTTCCAATTATGCAACTTGCAAATTTGGCCCCTAGGCGGAACTTCAATGAGAATCCTTATGAGGAATCCTCAAACCACGCAGTTTTTTATTTGTTTCAACTAAAATATCTGGAGTTTTAGGAATCTATTCCTGTTTTCTGCAAAAATTATCGGTGTTGTTTTAGAATTATGATTTATAGCCAAATAATTTTGAAGTGAGTATTGGAGTGCCTTGTCAGTTGTAGTTGATGATAGTATATCTGCAAGTAGTGTTTGTGGTGACTTATTTGATAGTACAAGGGTTGTGTCCTCTGCATATGTCATAATTTTGATTTTGTTGTTTCCAATTAATCTAGAGTTAATTTTTTCCAATTAATTTATCTTAATATGTGAAAAAGGATTAATAAAATCATCCCCATGACAGAACCAGCAGCACACCCCTTCTAACAAATATTTTTAAGCTAGAAATCAGATTGAATCGATCGTTGTACAGGTAATCACAAACAATAAATTCATTAAGAATCGGTACTTTGAGAAAGATTTTAGAAGTAGAAGATTTCTTAAATTAGAAATATATGTCTGAAACAATGTCATAGCCTGTGTTGACTCAGTTTAATTCTGTTTCAGAAATTGATGGCTTGGAAGATGACCTCATGTGCAGTATTTGTGCTGAGCTTTATATAGAAGTAAGTTTTGCTCTAGGAACATGGCACTATTATACTGTTTATGAATATTGTTAATTAAATGAATTTGGCAGTGCTGGATTCCTGAGCCCCATCTTAATCAGCCATTATTATGATAGTAGCAGAAATATGGCTAAAAATAGCATTGGGTAGTTACTATTTAGGTATTTATTTAGACTATTAAAGCACATTTCCCATTTAAAGAATAAGCTAATACTGTAGGTCTCATGGTAAGACCTGAACTGAGGACTGATTACATTTTTTGTTTTGAGGTCCCCAGAGGCCAAAACCACTATCGTATAAACGTGCAATTGTGGCAAGGATGGGAATTCAAATATCTAGATTCTAGGAAAGATCGATTAAATCAACCGCATTTGAAATTTGGTGTGGATAATAAATACTAGGATTTCCTTTAAAATACAACCCTAAGAATTGTAATGAAATATGTCATGTTTTAGCCTACTGCACTAAACTGCGGACACATGTTCTGCAAGCAGTGCATCACTGAGTGGAGCAAGAAGAAGAAGATTTGTCCGATGTGCCGAGCAAACATTGTTACCACAGTGAGGATCTTCAACATGGACTCAGTGATACAGAGAAACATTCGATTGATGTCGGAAGAAGCCCAGTCTCGACGAGAAGCACTGATTACAGAACGAAAGAAACGTAATTACATTGTTTTATTACTTATTAATTACACAAATAACTTAATTTTAAGAAGCTATTTTGGTAGCTGGATGGAAAAATTTAAGATGGGGTCCTTCTTAAAATTATTATTTAAATAGAACTATTTTATGTCTTTGGATTGTTGGGTAGATTTGATGACATGTAAGTATTGTAGTGATTCCAAATTAATTAATAAAGTCATAATGTGTGACATACATTATGTGACTCTCAAGATCAGAAGTGGATTTTTATTTCAGTTTTAGAGATATTATAATTTTAAAAATGTATCCATACACAGTACATATATTTAATTTAGAAAACACTGAGCCACTGCATGATTATTATGGGTTTGTAGAACCAATTAACTTCCCCGAGTTTTTGTTCTTAAAATATACCAGCTTCAACTAAGTATGCTCCTCTTTTGGTTCAAACTTTGGATGCATTTCAAGCCATATTATTTACATTCGCACAAACTTTCCACTCGGTTAATACCACGTAATAATAGTAGCCTAGTAAGTAGCTAGGATTTACAGGTGTCAGGAATAATAGGCCTACTACAGTATATTTCGGACGGTTCTGGGCAGGCGCTTAAGTGCAGATAATATACTTTATTGACATTGGTAGATATTATTTTGCCTTACATGATAATTACAAATTATATACAGCGATTTACAAAATAGCCTTAAGGGTTTCAAAAACTGCTCCTTTGTAAGTATGACTGTTTGAATTTTGTTTTATATTCTGCTCAAGTATAAAGTTGAATTTTAAAATCGGCTAAATCGACCTGAGCATCAGAAAAATGCCTATATTAACTTTCAGGTTAAAATTCAATATAAATGTAATTTTCAATAAACATCATGACACATTTCTAATCCACTGAATATATTCCATTAACCCTTTGCGGTCGAATGGTGAGTATAGATCGCCGCCCCCCATTTTCCGGCGACCTATACTCGCCGAAAAAAGGGAAAAAATTAGACCTCAAAGGGTTAAAGTTATTTTACTATGTTTACTTCACTCAAGAACATCTATACAGACTGTCTGGTCAAAACAAATCCATAACATGACTCAGCCGGCCGGGCCGACTTTGTAAACAACTGATGTTACGAGATCAGTGATGTCAGCCAACCCACCAATCAGAAATTTAGCACGAAAAATAAATAGTTATCGCAGCAATAATATTGATCAATGGCCTAAGGTTGACGGCCGAGAAACATCTTTAAAATACCTAAATGGTGCTTGTGACCTTCACATTGAGGTGCGTATACGGCCAACGCTCGCAACTGAATAGCGTCGTTGGCGTATATCGCGTCATTGGCCAACGCTTGGGAAGGGTTAAATTTTGAGTTTGATTTATGAATGTTCAATGGTAGCCTATTTAAATAATGTTGTGTAATTTTAAAATTTACGAATTTTTATTTATTTTATGTTTCTTTTTATTACAGTTTATGGTGGTTATTTTATTGCAGTTTAGCCGTATGGCTTTATAAATAAATGTAAATGTTTATGATTTGAATTGTGTAATGTGTAAAAGAAATTAACTAATGATTGAGTTTAATTTACAGGTAAGACACCACAAAAAAAGAAATCTTCAAAGAAAAGGCGCAGTGAGCCTGAAATCCCCAATCAATTTTACCCTGCTGAAATACACAATCCATTTAACCGATTTAACCCTGCTGAAATGCCCAATGCATTGAACCTCAATCAAATCCCCAATCCATTTAACCCTGCTACGAATAACAATCCTGCTGGGCGCCGCCACCGCAGGCTCCGCATGGAAATTGCTCGACCAGCTGAAGATACACCTCAAGAATCAGAAGGGTAAGTTGACGATTAAGTTGTTGTATTATTTACTAAATAATATGCATACGTTGCGTTTTATCCTGTGTTTAGAAGAGTGGCATTGCCATTTGGATCTTTGCAGGACTTCCAATTCTGTGAAATCACCTATAAAACAATAAATTTAGGTTCCGATTTAGTATTTTATGTGTGAAATGACCCCTAAAACAATGAGTTTTTTTCAATTTAGTATTTTATATGTGAAATCACCCTTAAAACAATCAGTTGTTGTATAAATTCAGTATTTTGGATGTAAAAACGCCCCTAAAACCAACAAGTTGTTTCAATTCCTTCAATTCAATTCACTTTTACTAAAAATTGTTCTTTATCACCCGACAGGGATCCATTTCAAGCGGGATGGTTGAGAGGACGGAATCTGCCACTCTTGGCAGACTCAGGCAGATTCTCTCCCGTCACCATCGCTGCGGTCGATCTCACCAACATTCCAATGGTTCAAATTCCTACGCCAGCCGCCACAAGAGTGCACACTATTACCTCCGGCGAGGCTAACACCACCATTGACCTGACGGACTTGTAGCTGGCCTCGGCTCCCCCGACCAGTGAACCTATAGATCTTACTGGTCTGGACTCCAAAGTGATAGACCTTACCTGATTATTATGTTTTTCTGCCAATTAGACATTTGATTTTTTAAAGATGTCAATTTCAATAAGAGATTCTAACTTAATTGCAAATTTAAAGTAGTATGTTATTGTTTTATATTTTTGTAATGAAGAGAAAATATTTTTTAACAGTTCCATGTGTTAGAATTAAACCAATGTAAATCTTCTGATTATTAGAATTAAATTTCTGTACTTATTATGTCTTCTATTTTGTTTTGATTCTTCTGATAGTCTTGATTACATTCAGTTATCTCACCTCCTACATTATTATTCCTTTCAATCTCAAGCTTATACCTTGTGGCATGGTTGAATACCATTGTGTTGGGTAGCAAAACCGTTTTATGCACCTGTAATTTCTTTTTTTTCACTTGCTATATTTTACCATAATTTCTAAATAACAGTTTGTCGCCCCTCAACCAGCACTTCTGATGCAACCCATCAAGACTTGGTTACAGTGCAAATTGAGATTGGTGACTGAATGGACGTGCACCCATTAGTCTTATATTTTACTTCTAATAGTGGGATTTTTACTTTGTGCATTTTTTATGTGTTAATGGCTTCAAATTGAAACGGAGAAAATATTTTGTTAGATTAAATGTGTAGTTTTAATTAAAATAGATACGGTAGGCCCATTCAATTATTGATACATTTTGTAAGATAAAGTATATAAATAATATGTGTAAATAAAGTGATAAAAAAAGACACCGTGTATTTCCTTTTCCTTGGAAAACCCGTTAACTGCATTAAACTACCAATCAATAATTACGGTAATTTTTAGATAAAACCATCTACTCAAATTAAAATTGCTATTTTTTGTACACTCCGTAATACGGAGTGGTAAATTTCAAAATGGCGGCCGTTAAGTTATTTATAACTTAAATAACTCAAAAACGGGTAATTTTATGAAAAAAATATCAAGAGTACTTTTTTTTATTCCCTATCAAACAATACCAAAAACGGCCGCCATTTTTAAATTTACAATCGGAAAAACTTTATTATTTTTTCTATAATAGTTCTTGTGTATGTTATTAACATGGTTGCCAAATTTCATCATCATCTAATGAAAAACTTCACAGATACAAATATTTTTTTATAAAAACAAAATGACGGATAACTGGGTAAATATGCATTTTTGGAAAGTCCTGAAACATTTTTTATGGACTCCCTGTATACTTCTCAATCCGAAAATTGCTCTGCAAGAACAATGTTTGACTCTTCCAATAAATTGTAAATAAGTCTACTGGAAACTTCTTTCCTGTTAACTCAAGTCTGATAATGTAGCTTGTGTCGATTAAGATGGTGAGTATGAGGAGACGAGAAAGGATTAAGGAACTCAACAACACTGAGAGGCACAATACTAGGTAGTGGTATGAAATTAATTCAATGGAAATTATTTGTTTGATTGATTATATATAAAAAGTATCAAAAGATATGGTTGGGGATTGTTCTAGTGTGCATACACAATCGCAAACCCCTATTGACACTATCTATACCCTCGGTACTTTCCTGTTAAAGGGATTAAAGGGAACATTCATTATTATCGATGATTTTTTCTTTATATATCGATATTAACCAATTAAAATATATCAGCTGACAACTACGATAAATATTGTTCAGTACCTATCAACAAACAATAATAAAATGAAACTGTTCTAAAAAAAATAACCTAACATAACTAACCAAACTTGCTGTGTGACATTTAAAAATTCCGTGTTTAACTTGCCTTTTCTGTTATCAATAGTTATTTGTGCAACTAGTGAGAAAAGTGAGCAATTGACTCACTCGAGAGAAATCCTTACTCGCGAGCCGTAGGCGAGTGAGGGATGGTTTCTCGAGGGAGGCAATTTTACTTTGAACTCGAGTTGCACATTATACTTTTCCTACAGTTACCATAAAACAAATAAATTTATGAAGAAACATAACCTATTTTTACACAGAAGCGAACTTTTAATATAACATTTAATGTGAAGGGACAAATACAACAGTACAACAGCTGACCAGCTGATTTACAGCCAGTGCTGCCAACGTATTTCGCGCACATACGACGTTGCCTGTATGTTACGCGCTCACTATTTCGTGCCTTCACGTTGCAAATCTGGAGTGAGACAAAGTAATTAGAGTGAGACAATGTTAACATTGTCTCACTGATGAGCGAATTGGCCACTTTGCTATCTCAAATCAGTGAGAGAACATGTACATTGTTAGGTAACTGTAGGAAAAAGGAATTTTTAAATAGTAGCCTACAACAAGTTTGGTTGGTTATTTTAGGTTAGCTTAGAACAGTTTCATTTCTTAATCCACCTAAACAAGATCAGTAGTTAGTTGTTGTCAATTTGTAATGGATCGGAAAACAAAAATATCGATATATCAAAAAAATCATCGATAATAATGAATGTTCCCTTTAACAGGAAAGTACCATACCCTCAAATCTAGATTATCAAAGACAATATAGGGTTAAAGCTAAAATTTAAATGGTGGCCAACCCGCCAAACTGGTAAAAATATGGTTAATAATATCATTGTACCACTCCAATGAGTCAATTGGATTAGAGATGTTTACCAATGGTTGTAACTAAAGAACTACTGAGTTTGCCAGTGATATTTTATTGTGTTAAGCTATTTACCAGTTACAATCTACTTTTTTCTCTTCTTTGGTGACCTTGATCGTGAACGGTCTCTTTTCTTGTGTTTTTTTCTATCTCTTCTACCACTTGAATCACTATCATCCTAAAACAACGAACCATTGATTAGAACCTCTTGCCATCACTTCATGTTATGCAAGTGCATGTCCTAGGCCCGTTGTTACAAATAAAACAAGTGCAACTGCTCAGCTAATTTTTCTCATCGATGTATAATACTCTCTTTCCACCAGGAGTGGGGGTAAAGGAATGACTTACCCTAGTGCCAAGCATTGTGCCTGCTTCCGCCAAGTGTTTCATTGCTTGTTTGGTGGAAAATTCAGAAGAAAATTGATAGTGAAGAATGTAAAGAAGTTTTACAAGCAGATATAAGCAATTTAAGAGCTTATACAAACTTTGCAGATTATTTGTCGATAGGAAAGCTCATAAGGGCACCCAGTGATGTTATGACAGTTGTCATATTTTGTATAGCCTACTTTTTAATTTAAACATTGTTCAGAGTAAATATAGTACGAATCATCTAATTACATTAGCATTAAAATTTTTTCCAGACAGGTGTTTGAACAATTACACGAAATTAAATTAGTGGGTTTATTAATTTAGAAAGTCATATACCAACTCCAATGCCAGAAAGGAAACCACATCTTTTACCTCGTTAAAATTAGAACTTAGGCAGAAGTTTAAAAAATTGGTTTTGTTCAGAAACCTGTGAAGTTAGTTTTATAAAGAAGGGTGTTAACAATAGATGTACATTTATAAAAATAGCATTTTCCAATTTTGCAACATGAGTAAAAGTCAGCATTTGCTACTGTAAGCACATAGCTCAGTGTTATTTTTATTTAACTGGCTGGGTAGCTAAGTGGTTAAAGTGCTCACCTAACAATAAAAGTCCACCGGTTCGATCCTAAGAAAAGTCAGTAGGTAAAAGCATTTAGCTTTCTTTTGTATTGCTAAACATCTTTGATACTAAAAAGTACGACCTTCCATTTAGACCTGGTAAATTAGTAAATAAATATCAACCTCAGATTCTGAAGAGGTAGCGTGTCTTTCTTTTTTCCTCTTTTTCTTCTTTTCTTTTTTGTGTTTCTTCTCTTTTTTCCTCTTTGGTGCTTTCTTAAGTTTTTCTTTGTCTGGAGGCAGGTTATCAACTGTAGGTACAGTGGGTTCATCTTCTGGTATTAGCTCGTACACCTTCCCAGTAGGACTCTGTAACAACAGACATGTTACAACCAAGACATGCTTGCCTCCTTGAATGAAAGATTTAATCATTTTTTTAAACAAACGTACATAACAAAACTACTTATAAAGTATTTTCTAACCCATTGTTACATTTCTGTAGCTGAAACAAAACACTGTATTATATAGACATTGTTTTAAATTCTTTTTTCCTATACACCAGTGGTAATACAAAGACTATTTTTAGCATATGACGGATTACCAAAAAATTTGTTTCCCGAAACGATTCTCCTGCTTTTATTTTGGTTAACTGGGTTTCTACTGTACTTATAAGAGTAAACAACTTGTTTTCTACGTAGGTATTCAATCTAACTTTATAATAGTAGTGTCATGTGGTGTCTGGATCAATCTTGGAATTTGTAAATCAATTTAAATCTTTATAGTTTAATTATTTCGTTTTAGACTTTCACTATCCAATTACCACTTTTTTGTAGACAATTTTACTGTAAACAAAATGGTGAAAGAATTATTAATTTATTTTTTAAGGTTTTCTTTCCATAACAATTAATTGCCAACAGAGGGTGCTACAGGCAGCGCATTAATTACTTCCCCATTGGGTTTAAGTGTGAATTAGATAATCTTGGACAATGGAACAACGGACCATCTCATTAGTTTGTTTATTTTTATTCATACAAATAATTCCAAGTTATGGTCTCTTAAACTCTGAACAATTTCACTACCTTTAAGGCCATATTAAAACATTTTAAAACCCTGTCAACCATATAAGATTTAACTTAACAATCAACTAAAGGTCAAATATAAAACCATCCCAAGTAAAAGAAATAACACTCCAGAAATATGAAAATCAGATTAGTAATGTAAAGGACAGGACAAGTAGGCTTAAAAATTGTAGGCTCCACTTCACTTAAGTAACACAAAAGGTAACACTGAATACTTCGAGGCCACTGTCCCCTTTCTTGACATCGAGTCATGTGACGCAAAATTCTAGGGGGGGAATAAACTAGTATTCACCAAATCAGGCTAGGCCTACCCCTAGAACCGGCCACACTCAAATTTCTTCCCCGGAGTGCTCAGAAGGAGCCGAGAAAAATCCAGGGGTCGATACGAAGTTGTCACGGCTTTGACTGATCAATTTATTTAAAATTTAATCGAAGGCTCAGAGCTCAGGAAACGTTCAGGAAATCCTGCAGACGCTCAGTTGGAGCTATATATCATCCTTACCTTCGTTAAAGTGTTTTGTTAAATTTTGCCTAACCAACCTTTGGAATGACTCTGTAGGGCCGACGAGTATTCAATCTTAAGCCAATGTGATTTAAATACTCGTATTAAACTTTAAACTAATTTCGGAAGACGTGGGTAAAGAATATTAAATCGAATATAATGTAAAAAGCAATTCCTGCAGAGTCGTCGGGCCTAATTAATATAATTGGACGGAGAATTTAACGTGAGATGATTTAAAATAAATTTAGCATTAATTTACGTAGCTGATTGTTCAAATCAGCCTGCTCCCAAGACTTGATTCTTTCACCCGCCAAAGACGGGGTTTAGAACTCAGACGACAAGTCTCGGGGTATTAAACGACGAATTGACTAGAATAATTTAAGTAATAACTAATCGTTAAACGAACAGAATAAACGTAATTTCGTAGCAAATTAATTTAACCGAACCGAAAGATATCCACCGCTAGTCACTGGCAGGCAGGAACTGGCGGGTCAAGGCTCAAGTTAAGTTATTAAATTTAGACAATTCGAATCGGGACTTTAATAAAGCGAATATGAATAATAGATTAAGAATTGCGTGAAATGAAAATAACGTAAAACGTGAAACGGTCCTAACTAAGTATTCTAGCTAACCTTCGTAACAAAATCGTACAGTCGTGTCAATTATCGTGCGAGCGTAGGTGTAACGACGAAGTTACTTCGAAGACGGCGTATGAACGAATAATCCTGTCTTGGAGTAAAATCCTTCGTTCCTGCCCGCTCGAGGCTTACGCGCTCAAGCGGCGAACTCAAGTACTACTAGACAACAGCTGATCGCAAATTCACTTGTTGAGCTGGTCTAGTTTCGTCTGTCGTCTGTCAACAAATAAACACCAGTTTGGGGTTATGTCGTCGTCGGCGTTAAATATCTGTAAAATCGGCCGGTTTAACTTTATTATGTGAAACGATAATATCTACCCGCCAATATCTACAGTCTAGTTACCAAAAATGATTATAATGGGAAACCATCAAGTCAAGATTATGATGAGGCCTTTGAACAACTAAAGGAAGATTTTAAAAACAAAAATCTGAAGACCCTCATCTGTTCGGCAATGGGATGTGTTCGTGACTGTATAGAAATAGAACACTTTGTGAAGAATATTGTACATTTTCAACAAAGTACAAAGGCAACAGTCTACATCATATCGCATGAACAGCCAGCTGCAAGGAGAAGACTGTGGAGGGGGCTTTCCCACTCTGACTTCTTCGAGAAGCTGCAATCATCTATTGCTGCAGAGTACAGTGATGCCACTCAACCCTCATGTTTGCTTTCCCAGGAGACTACGGATGTACACCTCTCAACCCTGAAGAAAAATCTACAAGAAGGAAAGAATTGTTCCAGCCCAGCCCTACAACAGAATCTCCTTAACCATGGAGTTGCTCCAGATCATCTAGAGTCCAGCTGTGAGGAATCAAGATCAAGCTCATCAGTGAAAGTGATGAATGTAGCAGAGCAGTGCAATGTTTTACCTTACCCAGATGCAAGTGTCTGTGCTATGGCTTCTGTTGTGAGTGCTGATGTTGGTCAAAATCAGAATGAGGTGCCCTCATCTTTAAACTCAAAAATCAGCCAATTATTGGATCCAATGTAAATAGTAATACAACTCACTGTTTTCAGACATCTATTGTAAATAATATTTTTTGTAGTAGGGTAGAAAGTACTTTTAACAATGAGAATTCTTTATTGAAACTTCAGAGATCAGTTCATGATATGTTTATGCATATGAACATTCAAGGCTTAAATCCAGGTAAAGTGGCTGATTTAAATATGTTTCTATCACAGTTTGGACGTAAAATTAAGATTTTTGCACTAAATGAGCATTGGATCAATGAGGACTCATTTAATATTTTTAACACCTTTGATAATTTTAATTTGGGAAATGTGTTTATAAGAAAAAATAATAAAAAAAGAGGAGGTTCTTGTATATTAGTGCATAAAGAATTTAACTTTAAAACAAGAGCAGACCTGGAAGTATTAAATGAGGATTTCATTTTTGAAGGTTCATTTGTTGAAATTGTGGAAATGAATTTACTAGTGGTATCAATTTATACAGTTCCAGAATATAACATAAGAAAGCTTTTCCTCACTAAACTAGAACTTTTAATGAATCAATTAAAAAATGAAAACAAAACTAAATCTATCATACTGGCCTCTGATTTCAATATAGATATTCTCAAAAGTAACAACTTAATTTCAAAATTCTATGATATTATTGAATGTAATGGATTTAATCTAAACTTCAATGAACCAACAAGAATATCAGGTAACTCTCGCACTTGCATTGATAACATTGCGACTCAAACAAAACTCAAGGTTATCTGTAAATATAATATTGGTCTTTGTGTATCTGACCATAATGCACTGTTTATAAATCTACCTAACAAATTGATAAATGACAACAACAAAAAGGTTTTTTATAAAAGAACTTTTAGTGAAAATGCTATGAACGAATATGTAAAAACTTTTGAAATGGACAAAAGTCAATTATGTTTGGATAATTGTAATGTTAATGATAGTTACAACCATTTTTTGAGTTATTTTATAGGGCAGTTGAATCATTATTTCCCACTAAAGGCTGTAAAAAAGAAATCTAAGATAAAAACTGTTATATTGGATTGGGTAACAACAGGTATCAAGGTTTCTAGCAAAAGAAAGCGTGAGTTGCATTGGCAAGCCAAAACCAGTACAGACCCAATTTTTCTTAACTATGTAAAGTCTTATAAAAAGATATTTCGTAAAGTTGTAAATAGTTCTAAAAAAAGGTCTAACAGCAAATATATAAATAATGCATTAAATAAACCAAAAGCTATGTGGAAAGTTGTAAATAAAGAATTAGGCATTAGAAAAGAGGATAGTTGTGGCAATCATATTTCATTAAAAGTCTCTAATAATGAATTAATTGAAGACCAAAATGTTGTTGCCAAAACTTTTAATTCTTTTTTTTTAAATGTTGTTAATAGCTTAAACTTGCCAAATCCTATTGTAAAGGGTGTCCATCCAAATATGAAAATATCTGTGGATATAAAGGGGTGTTCACTGTACAACTTTGAACCAACCAACAAAAATGAAATTTTAAAAATAATATTTTCTTTGAAAAATAAGACATCGGTGGGTTGGGATGAAGTTCCCATTTCACTCATCAAAGCAGTAGCAAATAAAATTGCTGAACCCCTCTCAGATATAATTAATAAATGTTTTGAATGTGGTATTTTCCCGGAAAAATTGAAATACTCTCATATTACTCCGATATACAAAAAAGGGGCTAGAACCGATATAAATAACTACCGCCCAATATCTGTTTTAAGTAATTTTTCAAAGATATTTGAAAAAGTTATCAATTTCCGGCTAGTAAACTATTTTAACAGCAATGATTTGTTTTATGAAAAACAGTTTGGGTTTAGAAAGACATTCAGCACCAACAGTGCACTGATTGAATTTATCAATGATGTTACAGGGGCTTTGGACAGGTCTGAAACTACTGCTGGTGTTTTCTGTGACCTGTCTAAGGCCTTTGACTGTGTGGATCATTCAATTTTGCTTTCTAAATTAAAAGACTACGGTATAAAGGGTAAAAGTTTTTCTTTATTAGACTCTTATTTACAGAACAGAAAGTATAGAACAATAGTGACCAAAAACGGTGTGAAACATATGTCAAACTGGAATTTATCTAATTATGGTGTACCTCAAGGGTCAATATTGGGCCCTCTGTTTTTCCTGATCTTTATTAATGACCTTCCAAAAGCTATTGGCAGAGATTTAATCTTATTTGCTGATGATACAACAGCAATCATAAGAGAGGATTCAGTAAATAACTTAATTGTATCAATAGAAAACACTTTGGATTGTATGAAAAATTGGTTTACAGATAATGGTTTAAAGCTGAATATTGACAAAACTCATATAATTAAATTTTCTTTAAAAAACAATGTAATTCTTGATAAAATTCCAAATTTAGTAGAATCTCATAGATTTTTGGGTGTATTGCTTGATACTCATATTAATTGGAAGATTCACATAGATAAGATGAAAGGCAAACTAAGATCTATTTCTTTTGCTTTCTTTCACCTGATAAACTGTGTACCTCAGGATACATGTATCACAGTTTACTATGGATACGTTGAATCCATCTTGAGGTATGGAATCATACTGTGGGGAGTGTCAACAGAAGTCAAATCCCTACTAATTTTACAGAAAAAAATTATTAGAATCTTAACCAAATCAAGAAGGAGAAAATCATGTAAAAACCTGTTTAAAAATCTTAGAATTCACACCATTTTTGGATTATACATAAATGAAATTCTAAATTGGATACATAACACTAAGGAAAATTTTTCAGATGCAGTCAAATTTACACATAATTATAATACAAGGAATAAATATAATTTCAGATTACCACATCACAAATCGACGACTTTTAGGAACAGCCCTCAATATATGGGACTTAGATTGTACAATGAATTACCCCTGTATCTTAAAAATTTAAATGCTACTCAATTCAAAGATAAAATAAAAGATAAAATAATTGAGAAAGCCTACTATTCACTTGACGAATTTTTGGAGAACCCTATAATGTAGATAAAAATTCTCTGATATCCTACATGAGTTTATTTTAATTATTTTAACTATTAATTTTACTATATAATACATCACTATGACGAAACACCTGTTCTTATGTATGAAATGTACTTTATAAAGAACGTATTGTGTAAATAAAAAAAAAAAAAAAAAAACGAAGTGCTATTATGAATAAATATGTAGTTGTGGATGTGTTTGTGTACTTCACTGTGAATAAAAATAGGCCTACGTTCTTTGGCCCATAGCCCAAGCTATGGCCAACACATAGGCCTCGGAGTAGGCTATTGTGGTTAAAAATCGGGTAAGTTCTGATGTTCATTTATTCGTAGTACGTTTTTACCCCCCTTAAAATTTGGCACCTTACAGTCATTAGACTCTGGAAGTCCTTTGCAGTTAAGAAAGCAGTGTTCAAGCCCCTGTTGCCAACATCTAAACAAAAATTTCCTTCAAGAACTGTAAACATTGGTTTCAATAAAATGTAAAAACTGCACCAACATTCATACGTTTTCATTTTTATGAGGCCTTTTGCAAGCTATGCTGTCATCATCAGACACATCACAAAACTTTTCCTGCAAATCCCTGCCATTACGCTACAGTTGTATTGCGATTGACTATAAATAATATCAGCTTTTACCAGTGTTTACTGTCTTGGGAAGTTATTCTTTAGCTGTCGGTTACGTTAGTCAGTGATTAACCATGGACAATGAAATCCCGAGCTCAAGAACTGCCCCTAACTGTCCCCAATTTTGAGGACTTCCCATATGCATGAATATGAATAAGGTACGTTAACCTTTAACTATGATAATACTTATTATTATTATATAATTTTTAATCCTCAGTTTTGGTGGCAATAATCTTTAAGAATCAATAGGCATAATAACTGATGGTATTTCAACTTGGCCATAAAATCTAATTAAAAATGTGATGTACCAGTAACTCTTACTTGGAAACAGTCTTTGGACAAGTGACCGTTGACTCCACATTTTGTGCATGTTGTTTTGAGAACTGCCTCTAAGGTAATGGCCCTTCGTCCACCGCCAGCTGGCATGCTCTTGCGCCTTTGTTCATCCTGGCTTAAAGCAAGAGACCACTATAACTTAGAGATCACTATTAACTATTAGCTATTATACTAACTATATTATATTAACTATTATATATTAACTATTATTAACTATTAGAGATCACTTTTGTTAGGGGATAATTTAGATTAAGGAACTTAGCTATAAAATGACCATGTACAAGCTTGGGAATTACTTTTGCAATTTTTGTGTTCAGACGTTGTGTACAATAAAGCTTTGTCTATTGTCTATTAATATGCCTTATTTTATACTTAGAGTTTACACCCGATTTGCGTTGGAATATTGCAATTGCAATAAAGGTTTCCTCTGTAACATCCCTTTTCCGCCCATTCTTCTTAACCGATTTTCATGATTAAGGTGTAATTTTATAAGTTTAAGATCTAGAGTAGGGACAAATGGCAACTAGATAGATAGTTTCATTTAGGGTTTGCTCCCTTAATGTTTGATTTATTTCTAGAGTTTGCTTTCAAAGATCCAGTGAAGGTGACCAAATTTCTTAATTAACGGACTGGGTGTGTGAATTGTAATTTTATTATAGCTATTCATTCAGTTGAATATTTAACCAAAATCAGATAGTAAACAAGAGAAAAACCCAGTTTATTTATAAAAACAGATTTAACGTTGTCTAGACTACTTATATATAATATGGATAAGATACTACAAAAACTAGATTTTCAAAGAGTTAATTTGAAAATTATAACTTACTGGAATTGAACTCCATTAGGATCCAAATCTCGACCACTTCCTTGATCAACAACCTTCATGGATAAGGCAATCTTTCCATCCTCCTAAGCACCAAACATGGATCAAAACCGATTCAAATAGAAGTTAATTATCTACATGGAGGATTTACCATGATTTATCAGGCTACCGTAAAATTTATTAACTTAGTTATGAAAGTCATCCAAGTTACCTACCGAGGAATAGGAAAGTTGTCACTCAATAATCCGGCCAACCAGAGGCTGTCCAATTATCAAGATTGCTTTTTCTTAAATAAATTTTATCAAGATCAAACATCACCATTTAATATCAAGCAGTGACCTCGGCCTATAACTATATTAAGCTAAATGGTACTTATATTTAATCAAACATAAAAAATTTAGGTTTTACGACAAAAAATGCAAATAACTCTGGCGTGAATTAAATCACAATTGTTTCGATCACTTACCAATATTTTGATAACTTTACACCAGACTCTTTCTCCCTTCTGAAGTACTTCGGTTGCATCATCGACAACACCTTTTGAAACCTGACTCTTATGAACCAATCCTTGATTTTTGCTTCCTGGAATAGAAATGAATGCTCCATAGTTCTGGACACTTGCGACCTAAAATAAAAACATGAAAACATAACTTGGTCACTACAGAACACTCACTTGGCTCAGGAAACAGATCTAAGATTTAAAATTATTAATTAACAGTTAAATAGCCCATGGTAGACGTAATAATCTATATTTAACGGACAATCCAGGGCTGATTTTCCAAAGAAAGAAGTATGGTAGGCACGTGCCTAGGCCCCCAGGCAATTGGCTTTTTTGGGGGAGCACAGAAAAATTAAGAAGTAAAAAATTTTGGTGGTTGTATTTGCATGCGTGATAGCCCTACGGCCAAGGGCCGACCCCAATCGCCAGCTACACCGCCTACCCTACACCACACTCGCTCCTGCTCTGTGGTTGCTACGCAACAGCTCTCACCCACCCCGCCCCCACCACGGCCACTTATTCCACTGTCACGGATGTACACCTGTCAAAACATGAAAATTTAGGTTATTCATTATTATTGATGATTTCATATCAATATTTTATTTTTGTATTCGATGTATTGATGTTAACAAATTGAAACTTATCAGCTGACAACTACGATAAATAAATAACTTACTGTTCAGTGTCAACAAACAATAAAAAAAAAAATTATATTGAAATAAAACTGTTCTAAACTAACCAAACTTGCTGTAACATTTCAAAATTCCGTTTGATAGCCTATTTTCCCATATGACTTTTCTGTTATCAAAACTTAATTTTGAAACGGTAACTTAGCCTACAGTAAGTTTGGTTAGTTTTTCAGTTATGTTAGGTTAGTTTTTAGAATAGTTTAATTTCTTAATCCAATATACCTATTACTATTATTTTTGCCTAAACAAGATTAGTTCTTAATCTTATTCTCTAATACGAGTTATAACTCAATAACTCGGTTATTGAACTAAGTATAACTTAGACATTTTTGCGACGGGTGGCGTCGTCCTGTAATCCAGCTACTAGGAGGTCACGAATTGTGGATATTTTTAGGGATGCACTGTGGATGCGATGCTCCCTCGTGTGGATTAACGTCCGCACTAGTGAGTACTACGACAATCCACAGTACTATCCTGATAAATAGACCAATTCGTAAATTACAAGGAAAAAAAATGTGGTTCGGATTCCACTATAAACTGTAGCTCCCTTAGTTGCCATTAGCTGTATGGGCTATTAATTAACAGCTGTGTCTAAGGAACATGTCGGCCTTAGTCACTAACAAGGCTACAAGATCGCGCTACTCATCCATCACTCATATTTGGGTTAAAATACGCACATAGTGGCGTCCCCATCTTAAATAATTGATAATTGATATGTCTCTTTGTCTGTAATTTAAATGCGTTTGTAGATATGGAATATGGAAACAGATAACAGAATATAAAACAGATGGAATATGGAACGTAAAGGAAAACAAAAATATAAAAAAGAATCATCGATAATAATGAATGTTCCCCTTAACACGAAAGTACCAAACTTTGTCAGTCCCTGCCAGTGTTGTTTAGGCTACTTTGTTCATTGTGTTTTCATCCTTGTCAGTGTGACATCTGTAACTTGAGCGCTGAAACACTGTGTAAATGGTAGTGTTAGTTGGTGTAGTTCAATTCCTGTAGTGTGGCCTACTTAGTACTTTGAATAGGCCTAATAAAGTACTGTTTCATAAATTATTTATAAGTTGAATTAGTATAAGAATGAATTAGGGCCTAAGTGCTTCAAACATAATTAGGCTGCACTTTACTTTAGGTCCTACACTCATTCGAACTAAAATATTGAACGATATATCGATTGGTTAGTTAAACTTAGGTAAGGTAAAAACCTAACCTAACTAACCAAACGATATATCGAATGAAACAATCGAATAATCTATATTTTCATTTGAATGAGTGTAGGACCTAAAGTAAAGTGCAGCCCATAATTATTTAAAAAAAATAATAACTATGAAACTAACTTACATGGGTAACTTAGGCCTACTTACCAAGTTAAACCTAACTTAGGCTAAATTTTTTGACATTGATTAGGCCTATTTTAGTTAGCCTACTTTTGAACATTTAACTAATGCATTGATGTTAGAGTTATAATCAAAGTAAGGAGTCAAATAGCCTATTATAGTTAATTCGGTTACCAAGCTCAAAACAGTTTTGGGCCCCACTAGAAAAAACTTTTTTCTAGTGAGGCTTTGATCTAGGCCTAAGTTATTATTTTACCAATTTGAGTTTTTTAGTCACAGATGTAGGCTCTATTGCACAGTAAAGGATCATGCACATGCGATAGAAGTAAGGAACCAAAAATAAAATTGTTGTAATAAATAGGTCCCTACCTCTCCAAGAAATATGGAATTTAATAAGTCTGAGCTGTCTCCATTCATTTTGACAGTTTAGTGTTTTTGTTTATTTTTTACAAAAATTACAAACAAACACAATTGTAGCCGTTTTCTTCTTCCTTTCCAGTTTGCTTATAAAAAAATCCGGCGTGGTTGATCTACCATGTAGCCACGTTATTTCAACTTAAAACATGACTGTACATTATGGGACTATTTCAGGGTCGATCTTTTGGGATGTCGATAAACTGGGACCCCACGACATTTTCCACGGGCTTTTTCCTGCTAGTTAGGAAATGATTTTTGATTTTCTAATAAATTGGGTTTACCGAGGATCATAGCTTAAATTTGGTGTGGTTAGATGTTTTTTTAGTTTGATTGTATTGTTAAATAATTTTAAGCTCAAGTTTCATATTATTTTAAACTTGGACTTTTCTTTCTTTTAAAAATTGTGCATAAAAATGCACAATGCAATGGTTGTTGTTAAATGCATAGCTTGCATTTTTCCCATTAGGAGCGTTTGGACAATTGGTTGTGGGTGATTTCCAACTAGCTTTCTTTATTTTTGCGTAAAGTCCTCATCCTATTCTAGGCTAGGGGCACTCTGTGGTCTGTAATGACGTGTTCTATTATTTACATATCACGTTGTTTTAGTTCACATTTGATGCAATATACGGAGATTCTCACTTCAGTAATAGCACAGAAAACGTACTACTACGTTTTCTGTGGTAATAGCCTTGATACCTTGAAGAAAGCAGCCGTTGACCAGTAGACTGGAATGGGCCTTGTCGTTAAAAAACTCAAAACGCACACACATGCAAAAAAAAATAAAAACTTTTACTTGGCTTGGTGAAGTGGCTGGTTTTGTTTCTTACTTTCCATGAATTCGAAGAATTCCTCCACAGAGTAAAATGCCTGCTCTATAAAAAGTTTCTTAATCCTGTTTTTGAAGATTGAGAGACTGCAGTTCTTGAGGTCTTCTGGCAGACTATTGAACGATCTTAAAGGAGCTGTACCTGAAGGACTTAACATTCTTTGCCAGCCTAAATCTAGGGGGGTCTAGGCAGTCTTTTTTCCTTGTGTTGTGCTCATGTACATCACTCCTTACCTCAAGCTCATGTTCACTCTCTTTGCACCACAACAGGCAATGTTAGCGAATTTCCCTATAGGGAAGTAGCTATTACCGTAGGTCTCATGGTAGGACTTAGGCCCGGGACCGATTTACTTTTTCATTTTGGACATATATATATATGTGTCCGTGAACACAATAACTCGAGTAATTTTGATCCGATTTTGATGAAATTTGGTTTGAAGGTGTAAGGCGGGATAAACTTGAATGAGTTCGCGATCCAGCATGATCGGACCATGGGAACAGGGTTTTATGGGGTAAAAATTGGTTTTTCTCACTTTTGACCCTCAAAAAACAAAATTTCCCAATTTTTCTCTAAACCTTCTTAAAGAGCTTTAAAAACAAACAATTCAGTATATCAAAGTGTTTTTGTACGGTTATTGGTTACGGAGAAAACTAAAAAAAATGGTACATTTAAAATTCCCATGTTATTCTTACGGAGAATGTTGTAAAATGTTGTAGTTTGCTTGTTTATAGATATCTTTTGATCAAACTTGGCAAATGTATTCATTTTATACTAAGCAATAATTATTTTACTTAAAACACACACTTTATTAGTTTCCTTGTAACATCAAACCTAGGTACTCGTGAAACCTAATGTTATTTAAATAGATCAATTGAAAAATCAATTCAGCCAAATGGAAATTCGCTTAGACGGCAGGTTTGCTGTGGCGGGGGTATTTTTAGCTCTAGTTGGTGCGTAACGAGGAAGAGTCTACCTTTTCCGAGTCCGATCCCGTTTTCTTTCGTTTCGTTTCGTTTCAGTTTCGTTCGTAGTTCGTACCGTTCCGCTCCGTTAACCGTGCATCCATATCATTGTTGGTTATTATAACCTGTAAAATAGTTAAATTTTGGCTTATTTTGGTGAATTACTGAATTTAAGACTTTTTATTTGTGTGTTATAGTATAATGATTTGTTAATGATTGTTCTACCTTAGGCTAAGCTGCTACCAATTCAGAACAATGCCATACCAACGTTTGCATTGTGGTTTAACACTAGGCCTATTTTAGCCAACGTTTACCTTTCACATAGTTTTTAAGCTAGACACAATTGCTATTTTTTAACAGCAAATATATACATATTATAAACTCATCACACTTTTCTAAAATTTTTGCCATTTAATTTGTTATATAACTAATATAAACAAGAAAATGGATCAAATGCTTCCTAGCCCGGGATTTAGCATCCCAAGCATTGGCACCCCTCTTCATCAACCAGAGGAAGATCAACAGATATTACCCATGGCTCAACAACAACAGCAAATGCAGATGCCTCCTCTGTTACCTATTCAACAACAAAATATATCCCCTGCTCAACAGAGGCCCATGCATACTTATGCACCGTCTATGGGATTCACAACTCCTCAAAGTATGATGCAGCCACAGACTCCGGTAAGATTTATAAAGCCATTTCGGCTGCACTTTACTTTAGGTCCTACACAAACAAACGAATTAGGCCTAACCCTTAGAGTGCCAGGCGAGAAATAAAAGTAACGCTCAAAAAATGCTGATGATTTTTCCCGAAGGTCGCGCTAAAAATGCCGAGCGCGATCTGGCGATTTTTAGGTTAAAATTTCGTAAAAATCGAATTTTTGATATTTCGACCAACGAAAATCGATGTATCGCATCTAGTAACTTTCGACTCAATGTTAATATATTTTGGGTTAAAAGAATCCGAGTATCCATTCGGTTGTTATGACAACTGTTCGATCATTACGAAACGTCCGGTCAGCCGGACGTTGGCACTTTTGGCTCTTTCTACAAACGTCCGGTCGGCCGGACGTCGGCACTTTTGGCTCGTTTTAAAAACGTCCGGTTCCCCGGACGTTGGCACTCAAAGGGTTAAAATATTGATTATTCGATTGTTTCATTCAATATATCGTTTGGTTAGTTAGGTTGAGTTAACCTTACCTAACTATCCAAACGATATATCGATTGATATTTGCATTCGAATGAGTGTAGGACCTAAAGTAAAGTGCAGCCGCAACTTCTTGTAAAAAATAATATATCAGTGTAGGCCTAAGATCTAATGACACAACTAGAAGTAACTGAATACCGTACCGGTACCTAAGTTAGCTGATTAACTTAGATAGGTAAGCTAACTTACTGAGCTTGAATATGAACCTTAAGTAAGGATTCAATTTTGAACTCATTTTTTTCATTCCGTTTTCTAAGTATCAAGATGTTAACTTAGGCTATTTTTATAATTTTTAGCAACACATGATGTCGCCAATGGTTCATCAACATGGGTCGTCTGGACACCTGACTACACTGAACCCAGCCACTCCTGGCCCAATGACTCCTATGACACCATCCTCTGCTGATCCGAGCATAGTACCTCAACTGCAGTAAGTAAAACACTTGGGAATTAATAAGTGTTCATTATTCCTCTTTAAAAAATCCTCCAACTTTATAAGTTAACCTTCTTATAGGCCTATTCTATTAGGCTACCTACATTTTTGTATTATTTAAGTTAGATTTAAGAATTAGAATTCAGAATTCAATAGGCCTAATAGTTATATTTGTTTGCTATAAGCATAAGCTAACTTGTGTTATAATTCTTTGTTTAAATCCATGTTGTTATCGCATAACCACCATAGCAACCCTTAAAGCTACCGGTACCGATTGTAAAACATTTTATGTTAACTTAGTTTTTAACAGGGATTTTCAAATTTAAATTTGTTTGTTGTTAACATGCTCATTGTTTGCCGGAATAACCCTATTAAGTTTGGCTTCAATATGTTCAGCGGTCATTGCGTGACTCAATTTCAAAGTTTGCATAAGATCCGATCTCAAAGGGCTTCTCTCTGCTCACTCAGCTCAACTAGGCCTACTTTTCATTGTCGTGGTTATTTTGTCTCCGGAAAAACTTTTTTTAAATCAAGTAGCCATTGGAAGTAAATCAGATAGGCCTAAGCCTATTTACAGTCCATAGTTGGAAATATTTTTACATGTTAGACCTAATTTGAGATTGACTTTGTAGAAACATTGTCTCGACTGTGAATCTGGGCTGTAAGCTGGACCTGAAGAAGATAGCGTTGCATGCCAGGAATGCGGAGTACAACCCAAAGCGGTTTGCGGCTGTAATCATGAGGATACGTGAGCCACGGACGACGGCTTTGATCTTCAGCAGTGGCAAGATGGTGTGTACGGGAGCCAAAAGTGAAGAGGACTCTAGGCTGGCTGCAAGGAAATACGCCAGGATTATCCAGAAACTAGGGTTCCCGGTAAGAACTAATCATATTTTATCATCAAAACCAATGATGTTTAGTAAAGAAGCACCTCAACCACTTTTAATAACACTCCTGTCGCAGTGTTAACTGTCAAACGTATTCCCGATTTCAAAAATATTAAGTTTGGTTTAACGAGTAATCTTACATATATGTACCAGGAAGAACACAGTGTTTTTTGTTGTGAAATGTCAGTATTATGGTACAAAATCAATACATTTGGACTAATACAAACTATAAACAAGCTAACCTAACTACTTTTAATTTATTTCTCTATTAGAATAACGTGGGGATTTTTAATAACCCTTTTTGGAGTTTTCTCTTTAGTCTCTTTAATCCTTACAATGCTTCAATGTGAATAATTAATTACTGAATAAGATGTTACTGTAGTTGGCACGGTAAGACCTAAGCCCGGGATCGATTTAATTTTTCATTTTTATGTCTCCAGAGGCCAAAAACACCATTATAGTAGTTCAAATTGTTATATTTGTATGTATATATAGGCCCTATATATATATATATATATAGTTTAATATGTCTACGTAAACAAGACAACTTTTAGTATTTTTTGTCCGATTTTGATGAAATTTGATTTAAAGGTGTAATGCGAGGTAAACTTGAATGAGTTTGGGAACCAGCATGATCGGACCATAGGAACAGGGTTTAAAGTTAGCCTTATGGGATGAAAATTGGCTTTTCTAATTTTTGACCCTCAAAACACAAAATTTTCCAATTTCTCTCTAGACCTT